GGCTGGTCGGCTAGCACCCTGCCATTAATAGACGGAATACAGTCTGAACGCAATGAAGTTCAAACACAAAGATCCTTACACATCCTCCTCTTCTGACAGCTCTCGGCTATTTACTCTATGCCTCTCACTAATCTAAAAACCAACCTGTAAAACTACTAGGAAGTTGCACAGCAAAACCTGGAGCACAAAAGAGCGATCACCCCCTTTCCTGGCATCCAAACTTACCCAAGTGGCCATAGCCCACCACATTTTTGGCACTCTGGCCCAGTCGAGCCCTCATGTCAGTCACGAGATCATACAGCTTTCCCACAGGGAGAGAGATGTCGTATTTGTAGACACAGCCATCGTGAGTGAGGGCCTCTGTGATCCTCTCTCGCAGGCTCCACAGCATCTGATGAATCAAAGATCAAAGCACTGCAAATAAACCAAGTACCTCTTGGGTTCCATGCTTTGTGGCATGAAGGGAAAAAGAGCCTCGGTTCTTTGCATATAACATCAACTTCTGATTTCCCTCGATATCCTCTGCCTCTTGGAAGCTAGTAATAACGCTTCCTTGGCAGCATCGTACAGTAAAGTGATACACCAACTCTTCAAGCTTGACAGTACTCCAGAGAGAAAGAACACAGGCAGGGGCATTCTCTCCAAAGCTGTTTTGGGTTTCCCGAGAAGTGGGTATGTGCCTCCTCTACCGAACTGCAAGGGTCGGTTTGGGAACTGGCGCTGGAAGAAACATGGGTCAGTGTAAAAGACTCACGTTCGCTGGGCAGGTACAAATCACTGTCCTTCTCACTGAGGCACTACGTGTCCGTCTTGTTCCCTGGGACCGCGGTCTCTGGCTCTAACGCTGTCATGCTGGCCTACAGGACTTTGCTCACTCCTGGCCTCGCTGACAACTCAGCTTTTGGTTTTGATAGTTTTCAGGCAGTTTGGGTCCTACCCCAGCCACTACTAATAGACACAATTCATTATTCTGATCTTTTTAAAAGGGGGAACATCTGCTGAAACCCCAAATACTCAGGCCTTCCGGGAAGAGTCAGCAGTGGTAAGTATTCTCTCTTATCATTCTTAGTTAATATGCCAAATAAGCTACCTGCTGACTCAGGGATATTTATACCAAACATTAGTCTGAACATTTCCCTATTAAAAATACAAATCCAAGGAAAGAATCGTGTCAAAGAGATTTGCGCAAGAGGAAACAATGACTTGCCTTTATTTTCTTATCATCCGTTGCCACAGTTCCATCAGTGACCAAACCAGAAGCCATGGCCTGTTCTAAGAAGTTGTTCAATTTTTCTTCATCATGGTTCGAGTTGGAGCCTGAAGTTTCAATTAAAACATAAAAAGGGCTGCCTGAAAGCGAGGGAGAAGAGAATAAGCAGATGCTCTGGGGTAAAAGGACAGGAACTTAGTGCAGATTCTGGAGCTTTTCCCAAGCTTGGCACATTCCACGGGGTTGCTCTACTGCCCAGATTCTCTGGTGCCAGGCAGAAGGGCAGCTCAAGTGGCAATCTTTTCTCTGTAGGGCACTTCACTTACATGCTCTACCCTTTACCTAGCCACCGCTTTTCAGAAAACTTGCAGTTTAGCAGGAACAAGTAGAAGTAAAAAGTCTTGTCTTTAAAGACGTCCACCAAATGTGTTTGGAATTCAATACTGGGTACAAAAATTATGAGGGATGCCCACAGCCTCATTAACATATATATAAATATAAAAAACTAAGCTAAAAATCCTCAAACAGTACAATGCCTCTTTCTACAGCATGAATGACACCGGTACCTGTCACTGGGCTGGACAGCTTGAGATGTGTCTCAACCAACTCCATGCACTTCTCATCCATGAACTCATAGGCAGACAGGATCTCTCCTAGCATGGCTCTGCAGGTTGTAAATGTTTCCAGAACCTTAGCGAAACTCTGACACCCTTCGGACAAAACAGAGAGAGGAATCAGGAACAAAAAACAGCCCCCCAAAACCTTGTAAAAAGTTCTCAAAGGCCTATGAGGCTTCAAGTCACCTTTCCCATCTCCAGAAAATATAAACTGCTGCTCTGTGTGGGTTTAGATCAGCGGTTCCTGCAATGGTTTGATCTGGGAGAGCTTTCAGAGCAGAACAGCAGCAGGATATAGCAATTAGTCTTTGCTGTGGCAAGGCCATCCTGAATACTCTAAGACAGTTCATAACAAAATGTCTGTCCCACCCTCAGTTCTCAGCACAGGCAAGAAGGCAACCCAAGAGAAATTTAAAGGCCACTGTGAGAGTCTAGGCAAATTCTGGGGTCCACTGCACTTATTCCAATGCGCTTGGAGTCTACTCATCCCCTCCTAGGAGTTTAGCTCTCTGCTCTCAAGGCTACATCTGATAGGAGCAAGCTGTTTGAGAGGCCCCTGCTGGCCTTGGAGTTTTTTGCAAAAAAAACCCCAACAGTCTCAGTGAAGGCTCCCCACAAACTCTGCTAAAGCGCCCCAGCAGGGACACCCCTGCTGAGGCTCACTCAGAAGCAGCTTTTAAGCAGCTGTGCCTGGCCATGTACCCTGCTGATCCAGACTCTGATGTGCAGACTCGACTTCCCAGCCCTGCCCTGTCACTGTGGACTCACCTGGCGACCGCTGGATTGTGGCTGCCTCTGCCTACTGTCACCAGACTTGCCCTCCTCACCTTGCTCGGCTGCTGTCAGACCAGGCTCTCGTCAGCGAGGGCACAGTTGTGCCTGCCTCTTCATCCTGCTAAACTCCTCGGTCCCCTTCCCTTGCAGGTATTTTACATATTTACACAACAGTTATAAAATATCTGCAAAGGTATTTTAACATACAGCACCATACCATTTCTCAGAAACAAGTTGATGTTGGCAGTCTAGCTCAGCAGGCTGACCAGCGCTTTCTTCTCTCCATTTCTATTCCCTTCCTAGCCTCTGAATTCAGGTGTGAAATTATTAGTATCAGCTCCTACCTAGGAACGCCAGATTCACAGCCTTAGGTTTCTGAGGACAGAGTATGGAGACAGCAGTGATAACTCCCAAGGTCCCCTCAGATCCAATGAAAAGCTGCTTCAAATCATAGCCAGTGTTATCTTTGCGGAGAGATGCCAAGCAGTCCAGAACTGAGCCATCAGCAAGCACCTGTGGGAATAACGGAGACCCAGTCAAAGCACCTATGTAGAAATCTGCTGTTGTAAGCTCGTCTACTACCAAGCTGATGAAAAGCTGCCACCAGCCTTGAGCAGTGGACACCAGCTGCAGCCCGTTCCCACGGTCTCATCACTTTTCCTCTATTCTCAGCTCTTCCTCCGCTTTATATCCTACCCGAGTCTTCCCCCAAACTTTTCTGCTTCTTTTTTTACATTGCTGTTTGCACGTGTTCCAGCAGGACAAGTAATAATGGAAGATAAGAGTTTGCTCTGCTTTTCTTACCAGCGGTGGAGACAATCAGCCATTCTCTGCAGCCCTAGCTCCCATTATTCAATAGAAACAAGGAACACTATTTGAAACAGTGAACATAGTTAACCGGAACGAAGTAAGCCCTCCACTACTTGAGCCTTAAATCAAGGCTGAATGTCTCTAAGACATGTTATTAGAGGCTGTTTTGACATTAGAGGGACCAACCTGAGAGAGAAAAGCTCTCCTTTCTGGGCCCACACAGTAAAGCCAAAGCAGGCTTTTGTTACCGACCCAATTTATTTCCTATTAGCTCTCTGCTCCCAAGCCCTGAAATCTTTTAAAACCATTAATCCCAACCTTTACATACAGAGGCACAGGCCAGTAGGGCAGAAGCACGCTGAGGAACAGCAAAGACTCCAGGAGAAAGCCAGCAGCCAAACAAACCCAAAGCAAATGGCTCTATTAAAAGTCAAGTGAGCAGCCACGAGAAGAGAGCGCTGTAGGATGGATTTACCAGATCGTTCCAGAGACCCACCTCTCCACCAGGGAATTAACCTCATGCAGGTAACTTGGGATCACCAAATCTCTCCCTACCTTCTTTTCACTTCTCTGGATTAGAAAACCACCTAATATCACTTCTGCCAGTAAGGACAGAGGTGGAAGTTGGAAACTGCGGTAGCAATAACAGACGCTACACGCTTGAAGACACTTGTTGACCCTTCTCAAAAGAGCTATACAAGGAAAAGTTATGAGTGGAAGCCTGGAGAGGAACTTGTCTGCATAATGGATAGCTAAGGGCTAGAGCAGCAGGAAACGGTAAGCAGTAGAGGCTTAAACACAGAAGGGAACTGCCAAGTACTCGCCTTACCACTTCCAGTCCTAGTACCGTCCCTCGGAGAGAGCCATATCTCAAGAGCCGTAAGCCTCCAGCATTTGTGGCCACGTTACCACCGATGTGACAGCTACCTTTCGCTCCCAAGTCAAGTGGCATGATAAACCCCTGCTCCTCCAAGTACTCATTGAGTTTCTCCAAGATGCAGCCAGCTTGGCACACAAGGATTCCTGAAACATAAATGTCCTGCTACAAACTGATGTCCAAGAAGAAGGTGCCAACTCAACAGGCAGGGTAAGTACAAGCAGATGCAACCACCTCTTCCTCCCAAACTTTCTGGGATTCAGTTTAAACACGCAAGTCTGTGCATGCTACAGGGCACTGTCCTACCCCTCCTCAAACCTAGGGGAGCTTTGTCATTGCCTTAACATCTGGTCATCCACAACTCCGGACTGCTGAAGCACAATGACATTAAGTATATCTCTGCCTGTTGTGCGCTCTCTCTCCCTGTAAGAGCTGAGATACTCAAACCAGCCTGATTTCTAACTCTCCAAATCCAAACGATGTGTATGCTTTCCCCATCCCTCCCTTCCCTCTGCTAGTGCAGTTATCAGGTGCCTTCTTCAACGCCATCATTCTGCTCCACCTGCTGGGTTTCTCATTTAATTTACGAACAGATAAAAGGATGACCACGTTTCTCTTCTCTCTTTCTTCCTCTTTCAGCCACTAGATGTATTTTTATATCTGCTACTGTTATAACCTAAGGATTACATCAGCAGCTGAAGCCTGGATGAAACAAACCTTTGACGTCCCTTATGATGCTGCTGGGTTGAACCTTGCTGATCCTGCAGTTATCGGCTCCCAGGAAAATGGCTGGTTTAGGGCCCAGGGCTCATTTCTGTACCTCACGTCTCTATGATATTTACCAGACACCTTGTCAAAGCTGATGACTCGGTTCAGGAGAGCAGTGGACAGAATGATCTCATCAAAGACAGGAACGCTGCCCCCAACAAGGCCTGTGTTACCCCCCTGTGGGTTCACTGCCAGGTTCCTCTCATAGCAGTACCTGGAAGGAAAAAGGTTTCTGAAGTCTTATGCATTTTAAGGCTATAATCCAGTCTACCAGAAGAGTTTCACCTCCATATGAACGTTTACTGTTGCAACAGTGCTCAACGGACCTTAAAATGCTTAGCAGCATTTAGCCTAAAGATTAAATTGATACAAGGGGACAGTTTCACTGCAAAAGTGAGAAAACACAACTCCTCGCTAAACTCATCCCAGCGCTGAGCAAAGGAACAAATACTCAGGGTTAACCCCATGCACATCCACGGATCTGCCGCGCCACACCTGGGAATCACCACTCACTCTGTTTAGATGTAACCTATTTACGGAGCGCGCTCTAACGACTTGGCTTCCTCAGCGGGCTCTGATAGATGACCCCTGGCAGTGGTTTAAGATCTTATTGCCCTCCTCCTCCCCTCAAGAAATTAATGTCCTGCAGGCAATGAAGCACGTGCATCTATGCCTCAGCTGCCTCACCTTCCAGCCTGCCATATCCCTGCAAAGCATCACCCATCACATCCTCGCCAAACTCACAGAAGTTCCTGCACAACGCATGGCACAAAGCCACGCTGCACCAGCAGTTACTTCAGAAGCCCTGACTTTACTGTGCTCTATATATCTGTTTTAACAAAGCTAGGAGCAGGTTCACGCAGCTTTTGGCTCTTCAGCCAAACAGTGATCCTGCATACTGATGCCCAACTGGAGCCGTGCTCACACCAGCGACCCAGGGAAGTGTTCTTACTGATTTTGTGGAAAAAAAAACATTAGCTCCTCAAACCACCTGATTCTGGCCTAACCTTCTTTACCTTTTGAGACAGACCCTCCTGAATCCTTCAACACAACTGCTCCTCTTCAGCAGTGGTACAGTGTCTAATTTTGACAATTTAGTAGAGCAGAAAAGTCATCAATGTTGAATCCACTTGCTTATCTCCCCCTCTACTGCATTTCACTCCTCCACACTAGGCACTTTTAAGATCCTTCTATTCAAAGCCATTAACATTGATTTGAGAAGTCTGCTGCTGCCACTTAGGATCTGCAAGGACATCTGGCCAGGAAAGATAAATTTGATTCTGTAAAACAAATGAAAGTTTGGCCTTTGTTTCTGCCTCATACTGACACAACACCATCACCCCTGAAAAGCTGAGGGGCAGGGAGAGCACTGGGCCTGGGAAATACAAGGCACAGGTGGAAGTCCCTTTCTGCCTTGAAAAATTTCAGCTCCCTAAGTGAAAACGTTCCTAAATAGGAACCTGTAAGTTTTTTAGACGAGCAACACTGCCTACCTATCAGTACAAGCATATTCCCAACTAGCAACAGCACGCAGTGTCTCCCATCCTGGGAGGAGCTGGAAAAAAAAGGTCAGGAAACAGCGGGCAGCCCAAGGGTAGTGGGGATATAAGGAGCAGAAGGGAGAGCTGAAGTCACCAGAGCTCAACCACAAGACACGCGGTCAAGAAGAAAACAGCTTCAGCAATTCCAACGCTTGAGCGATTAGTGCCTGAACATCTAGACGTTTTCCCTTCACCTGCCGGATCTTCCCTGACTAAACCTGAGCTTCCTCACCACAAAGCAGAAAAGGCGCATGTTACCTGAGAGCTTGAGACACCTCTGCTGTTGTCTGTGGCTTCAACATCAGCTTGCTAGAGCCTGCAATGAAAGCAAGGGACTCTCAAGGCAAGTTGCGGGCTCTACAGAGGTCAGAAATAAAAAGGTGGTAAAGCATAATGTCCGAAATAACAATGCTCCGTCCACTGTAAGGCAGAGGCATTTTAACCACTTTTAAACCAAACATTTTCAATAGCAGGCTTTCCCTTAAAGCACTGTAAAAACTTTGCATGTATACGTAGACCTGGTTGCCAGTGGGGGCAATGGTAAGGGTTTACATTCTCATGAAATCTTTGACAACAGCCACAGAAAACGCACAACACTTCTTTTCTGAGGTTCAGCCAGAACTGTTAACTGAATCAACTGGCTTCAGGAAAAAATTAATTTGCGAGTTAACAGAGCTTAGATTTTTTTTTTCCTAAACAAAAGCCTGAAAGATATGAAGTAACACTCAAAGGAATATTTTCTATGAGGAAAACTCATTGTGGTCTGTAAAAATGCAGTCTGCTATAAATAAAGATGAGATTTTCTTTGGCAGACTTTTCATTCCGGTACGTTAACAGTGGCAGAGAGGAGGTTTTACCAAAAGAAAAATAAATAAATAAATAAACGAGCTCACTTACCTCGGACTGATCTAAGCCAGTCCACGTTAAAGGGTTTCAATTCCTCCTCGCTGGTGACGACTCTGCCCGGCATCATGCGCTCGAAGCGCGCCACATCGCCGTCGGAGAGAGGGGAGAAGGGCAGGCGCCGCAGGCCGTACCGCTCCCTGGTCAGCAGGACCTCCGGGGAGCCGGAGGAGGCCGCACGGAGCGCCCCCCT